TCATTCAGAAAATCAATCATTTAATGTTATTCATACCTATCTTTAAGTATCATTCATATTAATGATTCATGATTCCATTTCATATTTTGTCGAACTGTATTTCATTTCATAGCATACAGATTTCTGTGGGGATAATTTGTAATATTACATGTCATTCATTCATCATTAACATTAATTTCTGTATTATTTTGTGTATTTTCTCCCATAATGTCTGTTAATGCCCCTGATAATGTATTATCAGTTATTTAATATGTTCCTCCTTGTTAATGTGTTATTTTATCCAATTTTGTTCAATGTTATATAATATCCCATCACCCCACAGAAACATCATCTCTTTTTATGTTACAATATAATATTTATGCCAATTCTCTCCATACCTATCCTGTATTCATCAAAAACCAACAATAATCATTTACTTAGAATAATATAGAATTGTAAGAAAATTGCAATATAGTAATAACATCTTAAATATAGTATTATTTTTCAAAATTATCCAAAGAAAATCAAAATTACTGTGGCAAGTGTCATTCATGTGAATTAACCAGCTGTACATCACTTCAACAATGGACATGGACTTCCTGAGCTTCTACCATTGCCTCTCCCCAGATCCTGCCAACTCTTCACAGTGTGAACATCATTCTATTGGAAATTGTGTTCGATTTAAACTAAAATTTATAATCCCAAAGTAAAACCTATATTTTAAATTTCTTATCATCCAAAAGTATTGGACAAGTGCATTGAAGAGTACCAATTTATAAGAAGACAGACACTCCAAATTTGGTAACCATCATCCATCTTATTTAACTAAGGACAAATTTAATCTTCATTGGACATTTAATCAGCATAGCCTACTAGGCCAAATTAACTTAACTCATCAAGATATACATATTTCAAATTGAACTTTTATTCAAAATTTAATCTTCAAATTCTATTTTATTTCATTAAATTCAGTGAAACCATTTGGAATCTTTCTTTGGACGTTTAACATTATTATATTAATAGCATCATGAACCTAGCTTAACTTAAGTTATTTCAGAACAATAACTAAATTAAATTATTTGCATTTTAAAGAAGCCTAATATATCATTCGAACCGGCACGACCACCCCTCCCTGAATTAAGAGCTCATATTAAAATATTGATTAGTATTTTAGAAGAAACAAACCCAATAAGCCTGGAGTTTTTCATCCACTTTGGAACCCCACCATTTTGAAAATTAACCCTTGTTAACTTACCCTGTAGCTAATTCAACCAACAACTTATCTAATATTTGTATTTCATTAATAAATTTATATTGTAACTTATCAAATCTATTTATTCTTAAAATAATTCATATTATAAGATTAAGATAAAAACTTACCTTATTAAACAGAAATAAAACACAAATTAGGAATTATCTTTATTAAGAAAGAAATGACTTCAAGTTCAATGTGGGCTAACTTAATAGCCAAAGGAATTTTGTAGGCCTAAGTTTATGAAAGTCTATAGAAAGCTTTATGGTGCGTAGCAAAACAAATATGCAATACGTTGGCGATTTTATTCGCATTGCATTCAAGTATAATTTGATTACTTTATACGTTATTTAATAACATTAATTGGTAAAGACCAAATCTTGAATGGCATAAAAATTGTAAGTATTATGAGTATAAAAAATACTAAATGTTTCCAAATACGTTTTCAATTAATTAATAATTAAATGTAAACACGCCAAACTCACGGTAACACAATGTATTACATTATTGAACACATGTACGGACACACTACATCACTTCCACTTCACTTCGCACATCAGTCCAAACACATCCGAACATAACACGAGACAACACTCTTCTACTTTATTTGACACATTTGTCAAAAGACATCTGTTTGGACTTTCCACTCACCTATAATGAAGCGATTTTATGCGAAGAAGCATTGACCGCCTGGCGTCACAGCTACTACCCTTAGCGGCGCGTCGGCGGCACTTCAAAGGCTGACAGCCGACTTCAGCCGCCATAAACTTCCGGTTACGATACCCTATTGAAATTCATACACATTTTATATATTTGTACTCCTAACACATATTTCAAATTTTAATACCGTAGGTAATTTGTGGCACTCGTTTTATTAATAGTTCTTAGGTTCGTTTTTAAGAACTTCCGGTTAAGATACCCTATTGAAATTGATACACATTATAAATATTTGTACTCCTAACACATATACTAACACAAAGTCCTTGGTCTTCTGGGTATGACCGCTTCGGAAAACTAGGAGAAACACTAGTTGCTGACGTTTCGGCTTCGTTGCAGATAGCCATCTTCAGAGCTGGTGACAGGCACTAACAGCTCAGTTAGTGCCTGTCACCAGCTCTGAAGATGGCTATCTGCAACGAAGCCGAAACGTCAGCAACTAGTGTTTCTCCTAGTTTTCCGAAGCGGTCGTACCCAGAAGACCAAGGACTTTGTGTTAGTAATTGTGACCGTGGAAGCCTCACTTCCTATGTCCTAACACATATTTCAAATTTTAATACCGTAGGTCATTTGTGGCAACCTGTGGCACTCGTTTTATGAATACTTCTTAGGTTCGTTTTTAAGAACTTCCGGTTACGATATCCTATTGAAATTCATACACATTTTATATATTTGTACTCCTAACACATATTTCAAATTTTAATACCGTAGGTAATTTGTGGCAACCTGTGGCACTCTTTTTATGAATAGTTCTTAGGTTCGTTTTTAAGAACTCCCGGTTAAGATACACTTTTCAGACTTATACAGAAGATAAATATGTACTCTCCTAACACAGGTTTTGAATTTCAATACTGTAAGGCGTTTGTGGCAGTCTGTGGCACTCTTTTTATAAATACTTAGTAGTTCTTAGGTGTGTTTTTAAGAACTTCCGGCCAAGATACACTGTTTAGATTTATATAGGAGATAAATATGTACCCTCTTAACACATGTTTTGAATTTCAATACTGTAAGTCGTTTGTGGCAACCTGTGGCACTCTTTTCATTAATAGTTCTTAAATAAATTTTTAAGAACTTCCGATTAATATATCCTATTGAAATTCATACACCTTATAAATAATTGTATTCCCAACACATATTTCAAATTTCAATGGTGTAGGTCGTTTGTGGCAACCTGTGGCATCGTTTATGTGTCTTATGGAGTTATAACATTGTCAGTCAGTCTGTCAGCGTTTTAGAAACTCCCATTGCGGATACCCCTTTTGTGCTTAGCACGGCAGCATAGTACCTGCAATTTTAATTGTAAGTATACTCGTACTAATAATGTACAAAGCATGAAAACTTATTAAAAAAATATCTGTACACATCATCAGTAATACATCTAGCCTACTACACTTGTCTTTATCTCACTATTCTTATTACAATACATGTTCTAAAAATGTCCATAATTATTTTCAGTCAATGTTGTTTTGAAAAGCGATTATCGTAAAAATGTTAAAATTTTGTGGGTACTTTGTCATAAATCATAATTTTACAGATGCCTGATGGGCGCGACAGGATAGAAGAGGAATGAAATGTATATATGTATCATATTGTAATTATTATGTTAAAAAAAAACAAACTGAATACAAACATAGTACCTGCGATTTAAATTGTATGTATATTCAATCTAAGTACCTTATTTTGGCGACTGACCCGGGTCAATAAAATTAAAATTAGTTTACAGCGGGTTTTTGCAATAAAATAGATAAATATTTTTTTATCGTTACCAAACTTTACATATGTATAGAATACTTGTTGATATACCTTCGTTCCGAGTTTCAGGTAAATATCTACATTCTAAGTAGTTAATTTGCTAAATGTATTGAATTTGTTGACCTGGGTCAGCAAAATAAAATAAAATAAAATAGGTCAGCTAGGCTATTTACAGCAGTTTTTTGATAATAAAATAGGTAAATATTTTTTAATCATTACCAATTTTACATACCTGTAGAATACATGTGGATATACCTTCGTTCCAAGTTTCATGTATATACCTTAATTTTAAGTACTTTTATTTTAACAAAATAAAATAACTTTTATTTTTTGATTTTAACAAAATAAAATAACTTTTTTTAAATTTTAACAAAATAAAATAACTTTTATTTTTTGATTTTAACAAAATAAAATAACTTATTTTTTTATTTTAACAAAATAAAATTAGTCATTTACGACGGGTTTTTGTTGATAAAATAGGTAAATATTTTGTAATCCTTACCAAATTTTACATACGTATAGAATACATGCTGATTAACCTTTGTTTTAAGTTTCACGTATATTCCTTAATTCTAAGTACGGTACCTTTTTTTTGCGATTGACCCAGGTCAACAAAATTAAAATTAGTTATTTACGGCGGTTTTTTTTGTTAACAAAATATATTAATATTTTTTAATCGTTACCAAACTTTACATACGTATAGAATACATGTTGATATACCTTCGTTCCAAGTTTCATGTAAATATCTACATCTGTTGACCCTGGTCAACAAAATAGGGAGTCCCCAAACAAAATGTTTTCATGTTAAGCCTTACAAAGCTAAACACTGCCTTTAGACTATGAATTAATTTCAATTTTTATTATTACTATACCTTGTCATTTAAATACAAAATTTACTCCAATGAAAAAACCAGTTGTGTATTTTATAAGATTTATAAAATTGCCTAGCAAGTAATGCTATAAATATCTCACATTCCTTTTATTATTGAATTTTTTTATGAAGACCAGCTGGAGTGTGATTGTTCTCTTTTTTGCGTTTTTTGATTCCAATTATAAATCACTGGACTGGTTTTATGTTTTATTAATTTTTATTTAAATTTAAACTAGATTATAACTTTAATTGACTCAATCACAACTTCACAGTTATCAACCACGGAAGTTAAGTTGGTTAATAGACTTTTAACCAAATTAATTATCAATCAAGCCGCATTATCTAAGATACATCAATAAGGTTATCACAGATTACCTAACAGCAAGGCTGTTTATTGAGACGCAAGTTTTGGCATGGATGCTGTGACAGTTGGGTAAGTGGTCAATGTGATCTACCTGGCCCAACGTCAGTCGTGTATCAACCTATTTCTGGACTGGTCACTCTAAACAGCTGTTCTCTCATCCACAACTCTCCAACCCAGTAAATTATGACCTAGTTCAAATTTTCACAGGGTGAATATCTTTAATGTTTTAAGTGAGAAACAAACTTCTTACTAAGAAGAGGTGTGACACTGGACAGACTATAAAAGGTAAGGTAGAATATTTTTGGAGTAAAGTTTAGTTATAGAAGAGTGATTTTGTTAGACAGGTAAAAGCTTGTATTGACTTTGGATAGGTATTTCGTTAATAAATTCGAATCCAGGCAATATAAAAGTGAAACATACTTTTTATGGTTTAGTCTATTGTGAAAGTAATGTTATTAAAACAGTATATTTTGATGTTTTCTTAGGTGTATGGTTAAACATAAAATAGCTACTAGAAGCCAATACAGTAGGAATCGTTTTATAATAGAAGCTAAATTATATGATAAATTATATTAAGATTTAACCATTATGATAACAATGAATAGTGCTAACGATAAAACTTCAGTAGATAACCTAAAATTACTGATCTGAATATACAGTAATAAAATGTTTACCAAACCTAGAGAGAAATAAAAAACCCTGTACATGAGATGCATGAATAAACATTAAATATATAAACAGAGAACTTGTGATTATTCAGAGAGAGGTGGAAAATTCCTTCAATGTACCGTACCTATTTACTAAAAATTCTCCTTTCAAAATATTTCTTTCAAAATATTTGTATAATATGTTAAACCATTTTAAGATTTTTGTTTTCTGGTGAATGTTAAAAAATACATTTCCAGTATAAGTTGTTTTTCGTCAAAAACCTTTTACCTGTGGTAAAAAACTGAAAAATTAAATTTGTGTCGAAAAACAAATGTTTTTCTTCTAGTGTTATATTGTTGGCTTTGGGTATAATAGAACCTTTGGATGTCTGCACTTGCAACGAAAATGGCTTCAAATTAGAGTTATATCGGCTGTAAACATTAAATATTTTTGTAAATGCTCCTTGGCCAAATCATCAGAACTTAACTTGAGAATAATTTATTGTTTTATTCAAGTAGATTGTTTGTTTATTTTATTGAATGGAGTCCAGCAACTCGGCTTCACATTTAACAATTATAAAACTTTGCTGTTGCAAGTATCATAAAGATATTATTGTATCTTTAACATTTGGAAATTCAAATCAAATAAAATCAAACCATTCTTTATTTTGTAGTTTCATTAAGAATAATACAATGGTGTCAATAATAATACAACAATATAACCTAAAACTAGTAGGCTACAAGAGTTTTTTTTCTTCTTTTTTTTCTTAACAATATCATGAAAAATTTGTTTCAAGTTATTGATTCAGATCGGATTCAAGGAATTTCTTCAAGGAGTAGGCAGGTCTGTCAGCCACTTGTGAAGTTGTGTTTTCAGCGGTTTTCCCTTCAGTGACTTCAGTGATCGTGGTAGGCTATTGTGGACTTTGCGGCCAGTGTAGGATGGTTTTCTGGCGTACTGCGTGGTATAATGTACTGGCAGAATGAAGTTGTTTCCTCGCCTGGTGTTGTAAGCGTGAAAATTTGTGCTTTTTGGCTATTACTAATTAATAAAAGTATAACAATATTTAGCTATTCGTTTAAAACCTTCAGACAGTTTGACAATGCTTTAAAAATTTAAATTTGCATTATGACCATCATATTTTGTGACTAAGGCAGACTTTTCTATGTGTAATTCAAGGTATAAAAAATATTTATGTGCAAGAGAATTGCACACATAATTTATACAGATTGGTTGAGGAAACATTGGCAACTGAGTAAAAAATTTGGTGCCCATTAATTTAATTTTTTTATAAAAATGCAGATTATGTTTATAAAAAATAATTTTATTTCGGGTATCATAATGATGCTTGGATTCAAAAAATATATCACTTTCATGTTCTTTGACATACTTTATTGTTTCTAAGACATAAAGACTGTAAACTGTCAAAATTTTAAGATCTTTAAAGAAGTTTTCGACATTCTCTGTGCTTTTTAAACCTAACATGATTCGTATTGCTTTTTTTGTTTTATCAGAATTTTGTCCAAATTATATATTGAAGTAGCACCATAACTTATATACAAATTCCGTTATAATTTGTGAAAAATATTTATTAACAAACACAGCATCACATGTTTTAGTTTAGTCTAAAGAATGAGTGTAGTTTTCTTTGATGTACATTTGGAAGGTTTCCATCCCTCTTTATCATAGATTGCAAAGAAAATCAGATGTTTGCAAGAGTGGCTAAATATAGTTTGAATATTTATAGTCTATCTTGTTTGTCATTGTTAAAGGATGCTCAATTAAAAGAAACCTTATATAGTACCAGTAATCGATCTCTGGCTATTCAATCTTGACCAGACTGCAGTAACAGTTATATTTGTCCAGCAGTATTGATATTGTGTTTAAAGAATAATGGTACTACTTGTAGAATGATCTTCGAACTATAATTTTTAAACAGATTGAAAACATAAAATGCATTTTGAACTGTTTTTCAAAATCCACACAAATTATGGGTGTTAGGTATCGGTAGCCTACTACTTATGCTAAAAAAAACAATTATTTTTCCATTTGAAGTTGTTAACCAAAACATTTGACAATTGTGTCAACAAGTGGCGTAGTATCTTTACCTCACCAGTAGTATTTTAATAAGTACAATTTTATTCTTTGGATTGTTTAAAAGATTTAAATTATATTGGGATCTTTAGATCTTTGCTCTTAAAGACTAAGGTTTGTGCGTCCCACTTTGGTAGCCTGATTTAAATAAATCTTCCAAATGTGTCAGCTGCTTTTAAAACATCTACAGACGCATCAAGCTAACTTGGTATGTCCATAAATGAATCCAAGGTTCCATAAAGTCCAGATGATCACAAACTAGTTCAACTTTTATTGTAATTACCCTTAGTAGTCATATTGTTAATTCCTATCTTGTGTCCTTGTAAATGATGAGCTAATTTAAAATTGCTTAACACAGGTGAAGTGAATCTGTCTCTCAGATGGCTGAAGTGGCTGTAGTGACAATGATCTTAGCTGCTCTCATTCCTCTGTACCAAGCAGTGACAATGGTACAGGTTAGTGCAGTAAACACATTCAAAGCTCAAGTTTAGACTCAAAATCTCTAGATCCAGTTTGGTTGGATATGAGCCCAAACATTGAAATGTTGCTCAAGAAAGAGTACACAATTTTGATGGATTTGTATATTTCCAAACAAAAGGGGTTAAGTATCATGTGTGTAGCCTTTTTGCTGTAGATAACCCACTGGCACTAAAGTAGTTTGTCAAATCTGACTTATGAGCACTAGCATTGTCGTGCGTGGGCAATCGACCTGTTCGGCCAACGGTGGCATGGTATTAATGGTATTAATGGTATCTGGTTGCGGCATTAGTGAGTTTAATAAAGATTGCACACAACACATTTTTTTCTTCTTTTCACATTAGTATAAAGGAGGTGGACACAGATTTGTCTTTTTTTGCTTTTAATTGTCTACAATAAGCTATGAACGTGTGTATACATTGAATAACTTCTTGATCAGCATCGTAAGTGTTATTAAATTACATGAAAAAACAAAAAGACACTTTTAATAATATATTTACACTTATACTGTTGACTCACAAGACAGTTAATAAAGAAAAGACCAATAGGCGAATGAAATCTGATATGTTTGCTTGTGTAGGAAGTGGGTCTAGGAGACATGGCTGTACTGAACTGTCCCAGCAATGACGAGTCACATCGCTTCCAGTTCTGGCAGCTCCAGACCCAAAACTTGATGATTGGACCAACCAACAAGTTCAACCGAGACAAGTATAAGTATGAAGTTCTCACTGGAACACTATATATCAGGGTAAGAACTAAGTATAGTTCGGCCGCTTAGAAAACGACCTGCGCGCTAATGCTAAACCAATGCTAGAGGAGGTCGCTTTCTAAGCGGCCGAACTTGCTGGGTATAGTTAGATTTTTTAGCTAGATGCGGTTAGGTAGACTATCTTTGACAATGAACTTTTTTTGGCTGTACTGCAATCATTTGTTCATACTTTTTAAATTTTGAGATTACCCTTTGCGGTCGGAGGGCCACTACGTGTGGCCACAAGATCCGTAGTGTGACAAGTTGTAATATATGTATGAAGTGACGCGCCAATAGCTCGGCAGGGCCACTCGTAGTGGCCCCGCCTCCTTCTATGGTTTGGCCGCCATTATTACTTTTCTTGTTTACGTCTTACGCTTGGATTTAAATACCGTGTGGCGAGCATTTCAACTCCAAATCAATGATGTTTAACCAAACATATGACTGTAAACTCGGTCATCATTAGGATTCAATTATGTACACTCGTATTTAATAACAATTTAATTACTCAAATATTAAAACGTTTATAACAATTAAATTATTAATACTCTTAGATAAAATAAAAAAGCAAAGTATCTTTTATGGTTGAAACTGATTAAAAACAATGAAAATGGTTCATTTGCAATGAAATATTTAAAAAAACTACAAATCTAAATATATTTGACAAGTTATATGATTATCATACAGTATTATGCAAATTACCAGCTTTATTATGAGTTAAGTGTAAATTAGAAAGAACATAGATAATATATAAATAGTCGAACAAATTTTTATCCTCCAGAAAAGAGCAGTTAGAGTCTTAGCCAAAGTGTCTCGAATTACTCACAGTAAAGAGTTTTTCATTCAGTTTAAAATTCTTACTTTGTATAGTTCTTATATCTTTAAACTGGCTTTAATGGTTAAAAGTGATTTTGACACATTCATGGAAGATCAACATGAACATCCACATAACACTAGATTTAAAAACAATATAAAACTAGTTCAACACAGACTTAAAGTATTCCATTTATCTCCTCAGTACATGGGTCCAAAAATATACAACAAATTACCTTCTTCAATTAAGGACATCACTGATTCACTCCCTAAATTCAAAAAGAAGTTAAAAAACTTTCTTTTGGAGAAGGCCTTCTTCTCATTGGAGGAATATATGGAAGCTGTGTAGATGTTAAGGCTCAGCATATGAAATTTATTTTAGTAATAGTTTTAGTATAGAGACTATAAATTATTGTAACAATGACGAATCACCTGTCTGAATATGATGTTATGTGATTATTGGAAAATAAATAAATAAATATAATATTAATTTAAAATCTTGGTACTTAAACAAAATACTATTAAGAAGTATATTGGATAAAAAACTGTTAAAAGAACTGCAAAAAACTTTACAAAACTAAAATTGATTGCCTATTATTAACTCATTATTGCCTAAAATTTACACATGAAGGATAAAAAATTAGTAATTGAAGGATAAAATTTATAGATAAAATAATTAGACATCACACTACTTGAGTTGATTTAAACGAGTTTGTATTTCTTCCGTGTGTGATATCGGTGAAAACAGTCTCCTGGGTGTAAGCCAGGTTTATTCTCACAGGACTTGCAGTAAAATCTGGTTCATTTACGTTGTCCAGCTGCTCTATTTGTAGAAACGGCACAGTCCTTCTTCGAAGTTCCCTCCAGCTCATAAATGAAGTGTATTTTTCCATCTAGGCGGTCTCCTTCAGTGATATATGATGGGCGTCCACGTTTCCTGCTTGTGTTTCTTACATCACCCACTAGCTGATTCACAAGTTGTTTACGGTACATCTTTTGACGCACAGCTGGTCTGCCAGGGTCTCGGTTGTAGTTGTAAATTATGAATCCATTGACAACAGCAACTTCAATTAACAAAAAAAAATTTTACGCCACCATTTTATTGATTTTCTGGCAAATGAATAAGTAGCTATGTAATGGTCTGCTATGTCTACGCCACCCATGTTTTCGTTATATCTGCAAACAGCTGTAGGTTTCTGAACAACTTCTTGATTTCCACCCTTAACGTATCTCTTTACTTCTTCCACCGAGTTGTCATACAAAGAAGTTATCATTAATACTTCCCTTTTATCTTTCCATTGTATTACAGATAGATGGTCACCTTTTCTAAATGCGTTGACATCGCCTTTTTTAAATTTTTTCTTTTTCTTAACTGCTAGAGGTAGCCCTTTTCGTTTCCTATCTACCGTTCCAGTAAAGTGAACTTTTTTTTGTACAGAGCCTCGGCTAATTCTGGGCTAGAGTAAAGCCAGTCGGTAAATACGTGCAACCCTTCAGCACTTCCTATAGATTGTCCAACTCTGTCAACACAACTCGAGTTGTTGTCAGTAAATCTGGCCTAACAAGTAGGTTGTTTGTTGTTTGTCCCAGATATGGTTCTATTTTGCACACACATAACCATTACTCGAGTCAGACAGAAATAGACCTTAATGTGCCACTTTTGAGGCTTATCCTTATTATAACATTTAAATAATACTTTCCCTTTAAACCCTACAGTACTCTCATCTATGCTAACTTTGCTGCCTGGACAGTAATATTCTCTAAACTTCATGTCAAGATAATTAACAACATGTTTCACTTTAGCAGAGCGAGAGATTGCACCTAATATTGGTTGGAGGTGTAGAAAGGTGTAAATTCCAAAAAATTTGTAAAAATCTCTCTTTGCAAAATATGTCTTTAAAAAAAGGCTGGTTTTCCAACCAAACGGTCGAAAAATAGTCGTCGATATCAGGCTTTGGGTGCATGCCCATATTAATTATGACCCCCAGAAATGCCTTGAACTCTACTACAGTAATATCCTTCCATGTCCACCACATGGATTTTTTTGGTAAGGATCTCATTTTATTTATTTTATCTTGAGCATATCTGTTACTTTCATTAACAATTTCTTCTAACAATTCATCAGTGAAAAATAATTTGAAATACTCAATTTCTGAGTTTCAATCAAAATTCGGTGGTTGTTTGAATCCACTCAAAGCTTTATTTTGAAATTCACGGAAACTTAATTACATCATCATCCTGCCACTCTCGCCATATGTCAGCTGCAGCAGCTTCTTCAACTTCAGCTACATGTTGATCGTGTTCACCCTCGTTAACATCGCTAATATTGTGTTCTAGTTCACTATCAATGTTCACATTTCCTTCTATATCATTATCACTTAATTCAAAATCCACATCACTGTCATGTTGACTGTCAATATCACTAAAAGAACATTCAATATTTTCGTCACCACCCTCAACCCCTACTTGCTGATCTTCCTCTACACCTTCGATCTCCATGAAAAGATCGTCATCTTCATCGACTTGTAATAAATCCCCTATAGTATCGGATGATAAGTCTCTATTTGAGGCCATTTATAAATCATAAATATCAATTTATTAAAAATTAAAAGCATTAAAACGACTGTTGCACAGCACAAGCTGATTACTCACTAAGGAAACACGTGACAATATTGTTATAACCTAAAAAACCAACGGCTTGTTGTTGTCTCCAGATAGTTCCAATGATTGTTGAGAGAGCGCAGCACCTCCCAAGCGGAGAGAATCGATAACAAAATTACAATCCTAAATATTATGAAGAGAAACAGGGGGCCACTACGCGTGGCCGGCCCGAGCTGAACAGGAAACGCGTAGAGGGCCTCTACGCGTGGCTGGCCCAAACTGCGGGGCTACCTTCAGCGCTGACAATGTCGCGTCATTAGACAAAATGAGAGGTCCACTAAGTGTGGCCTTCCCGATCTATAGGGGAGGAAAATAGAACGATAAATACGACCGCAAAAGGGTTAAATAAAAAAAAAAATTGGCATATATAGTAGCGGCAGTGTTGTTTTCAGGAGTGCTCATTTTGGAACAAACTAATTAATTAGTACGTTTAATTGTCAAAAATATTTAGAAAACAATCAGTATTAACTGTATTTTATGAACCAAACTCGACTTTTGCTTCCTAGGCTTATCACGTTAGCCTATAAACTTACCATTACCTGAGGTCATTACAGATCATTACTAGTTGTTGATCGTAGGTAATTCTTTATATAACTGAGAGTGGAGAAAGATCTTTATCCTGTGCAGTTAGTAGCTGGAGCACATAAAACCATTCCAAAGGCATAATATCAATGTTTGGGTGGATATCCAAAGCATCAAAGTGACGTAAAATTTTGATTATCTCAATCAGGGGGATACTTGTTTTGCTTTGGTCGTAGTTTTGCGCCAAAAATGGTTTCAAATGTACTCGTCTACCACGGCAGGCTCAAGATCTTCGGAGTACACACTCAATAATTCTCCCGATTTTTTATAATTTTTTAGGGTGTCACTCGTTGTAATGCCTCTAAAAATCCAAACCTTTTATGGAGCTCAGTATATTTTTCACCTTGTCACTCAATCTCTGAATGCAATGAATCTAAAATTACATTGACTATATTCACACGAAAGTTGTCAGATCCTGTTAAAGAAATTGCACTGCTGGGTTCGACATATTCCCCAGCATGTTTTGGCCTCTTTTTTACATTGAGTATCGCCCTGTACTCTTTCCCACATTTTCCCTTCGCTGTATTTTCAAGTTTGTTTAAATGATTTCTGACCTTTTGAAAAACCCCGCAAAGAGAGTCATAGTACATTATTATATTCCCAAGTTCTGTCGTTTCATACTGCAGCTTTTTACTTACTTTGTTAAACCTTTAAAATATTTTACCCTATAGTATTTTTATGCAAACTGCAAATAATGCCCTCTCAATTTTCACTCATAACTCGACATGCGTCATTGCGAGCAGACCATCGTGTCTTTGATAGACTTTGCAACTGTAAAGGGCAATGCTCCTTTAGAATGGCCCACCTATGTGTCTCGGCACTGAAGAAATTGTACATTTCCAAAAAAAATGAAAAAAATATGAAACTGCTTCTGTGCACGATTCTGCAGCACAAGACCCTACTAAGTTGAGAGAATGCACCGCACACGGTAGATATTCCGCCAGAGGGTTTAACTGCTTAATTCGAGCATGAACGCCAAAATAAACACCAGACATATTCGTAGTGTTCGTACGCCTGACCCCTGCGTTTTGAAATTTCCAAATCAAACTTGTTAAATGATTAATGTGGAAACAATTTTTTTTCTGCTTTATGTACACATCTTTTGGGACAAAACAAATAAGCCTTCCTATCGGCACACCATCTTTGTTAAAATATCTAACAACGAATGTTAGCTGATCAACATGTAAAATGTCCGGGGTTGAATCTAACACAATACTAAAGTACTTCGTTTCGCTAACCTCTTTCATAATAAAGGATCTTATTTTTTTCAGCCATAAGAGAAATAAATTCCTCGTAAGCCGTTTTATACAGATAAGAGGTACTTCCCGAACCTTTGTTACCATATTTCGTTAAATATGTTCTGCCATAATGTTCATTCGTTCCACATAATGCGAGTCCTTGAACTGTCAAGAGTACTTGACCCGCTACAACTCGTTTCAGAACTTCCCGCCAATAATGAATTTTGGGTTCAAGTTCTTCAATAAGGTGAACATTTACATTACCTTTTGCATCGCATATGAGTTTATGTTTTGACATACTATTTCTATAGTAGCCACTGTTCTCATGCTCGTCATCGACTTGCATTTTTCCAGTCGTTGAATCCAGTAGTTAAAAATGTTCCCTTCCCATCTGAGTCCCCAAAAAGCTTACAGGGAACACAAAAAACACACCCGGTGGAAGGAGAATAATTTTTTGTTTCACCAATTTTTTGCCTTTTTTAACACAATGACTTTGACTGGAAACGAGAGTTGTTTGAATACAGCCTTTCGGATTTTTGAAAGTGTAGATTACTATTTTGATAGACTCCATTGAGGCAGATATAGTCTCTTAGATCTTCATTAACCCTTAAGCACACACACTCGTTTTTTTACGCTGAGGAGCACGCAGGGGTTTAGTGGATCCCAAAATAAAAATGGGTATGTAAAAAAAGTTTTTGATATAGCTCTTAAATTTTAGACATAATATCTATATTCATTTTCTGTTATGCTCACCAGGGTTGCCACCATACTTGTGAAATTATGACAGAATTACCATATATCATACCCCCGCACACACATTTAAGGGTTAACGTCTCATAACTCTGGGTCATTGCTTAAATGAACCACAGTGCTTACTGTGTGATATAGAGAGAAAAGAATTATACCTTAAACCAAGGTTATACTAAGCAGAACAAAACATAGTAATGTTTGAGAAAACAAATAACATAAATTGAGTCAGCTGCTGCTAAATATAAAATTCTATAACACTGTGTCTACTTCCACTCTTGATTCAACTGAGGCCTGGGCAAGGCCTTCGAGCACGGGATCAATTTCACACAGATATCTTCACTTGCCGATGTTGCTGAAGAAACCGATGCCGCTTCAGCATTTTCATCTGCACACGTAAAAAATAAGGTGATTTTGGAATTTTCTTTTAAAGTTTTCTTCTTTTTCTCTTCTTTTTCCTCACGTCTTTTTTCTAAATTCCACGCCACTTAACTTTGGTTTTTGACTCATTTTGCACTTTCTTACAGCTTCTTGCTTAGTTTTACAGTGTGACCAAGGAGATTCTCTGATGCCAAGAGAGAAACTATAAATTCACCTTGACGTAAGGAGTTAAGTAGTATTACAGCTCTGGAAGAAGAGTCCCTAACATTCCAGTTTTTAATCTCTTCTTTAAACGTTACTTCCAACATGTTGTAGCAGTTCCTTCGTAACAAAAACAGCATCATGTTTTTGTAGCCTACCCACCTAGTTGGGCAAACTGCAGAAGCTCTTTCCTGTTGGTCTCCATATTTACCTCAGATTTGCTATTCCGAAGCAATTTTTGATTGATGCAACATTGTGTTTGAAAACGCCAGGTTAAGGCTATGAGAAGCGCAATGCACATATATTGCTGTGGGATGTCTTCTTGAATATAAGCTTGAGCCCCACTAAACTTACCACTTATGGCAGACCAAGATAGTTCCCAACCTGGTCACGTAGGTTACTTTTGTCTATATTAACTATCTTCAAGTCCTTTTAAGGTTTTTGCAAACTTTGCTACTTGTAGTAGCATGAACTTGAGAAACTGCTCACAAATCATTTGACGCATTACATATCACGTAGGCAACATATCACGTATCAACGTAGGCACAACGAAAACTGTTCAACTGTTGCATGATCAGAGGTTTGAAAAAAACTGAAAAACTTTGCTTCTTTAATTTTACTTACTATTTTTTCAGTTATAATCCGGTTATAAGCGTCTTGATTTAGGAAATTCCAACTTATATATTTAGCATTTCGGTCAAACGACTCAAAGTGATTTTTCAAATCTTGATACCCCGCTTCAATTCTCGCTCTCAGAAGATCTCTAAAGCTACCCTCGTTTTCAATAGGTTTAGAGTTTATTTCAAACTCGCCATAATCTCTATGGCACCTAAGAGAAAAGACTGTATATAGACAATGAAAATAAGAAAATCATTGTGCTATTGTCAGTAGGTGAATGATAAGTTACCGTAACATCCAAATATTTTTCCCGGATTGTTTTATTATACAGTCTATATATAAATATACAAAGATTTAGTAAATAAAGCCGAAGTTCTTTGATTTTTTAACTGTAAAGTTTGTATTAAATAATCTTGCAGAATGATTAAGCTGTTTAGGCCTACCTTTATTATAATTGATTTACTCACAGACATTTCACTGGTTGTTGAACAGGCGTCAATTTCATTCAAGGAGGATTCTTATTCATCGGATGAGACGCCCAGCTGGATAATGAGGGGCTCAATGTCGTCATGCAGGTTATCGGCCTTCCACATGTTGTCTTCAATAAGTTCAACGTGATTACAATAGTTTTTCCACTGATCGTTTGAAACTGTGTCGAATGCGTTGTCAATCAATTTTACCATTATGTCTTGTTTAAACTAAGTGTTATGCATGTTATGCACGTACCTTTTCACTTGGCTCCAAACAAACTCTATAGGGTTGAGTTCACAATGGTAAGGAGGTAGATGTAAAGTTAAAAATCCTTTTTTTTGGCAAGTTCATCGACGACGTGGGCCAAGTACAAGTGCTTAACTTTGCCTACCTCATTCAATAGTTCTCTTTTCAAGCTGTCGTCAGGGAAGTTAATATTTTTCTCCTTGAGAAATCTTTTTACATGTTCCTTTCTTGATTTTGTGTTAGTTACCTTTTCTACTTTCACAGAATGGTATGGAGCATTATCCATTACAATTACTGAGTTGGATTGAAGGTTTGGTAGAAGCTGGTCTTCGAACCATTTTCCAAATCTTACCATCCATCTCATCAAGGTAATCTTCCTTTCCCTCCTTTGCTAGAAATACAATTTTTGCCTCCTTCACAAAACCATTTTCACCTCCGGCATGTGTGATGACGAACCGAAGCCCTCGTTAAGTTAGATCTTTCAATCCAGTCGTTAATCCTGCCATGTAAGCGTCTTTTGGAGTAGTTATAGTCTTGTCTACCCACACTTTGTTTGCTTTGTTCCGACATTTACCCAGGTTTTATTGAGGTAAATCATATTTTTTTATGTCGTCTGTACTCTCGAATCTGTCTGAAATAAGAGTGCCTCCATACAGTTATATCCTCTCTTTCCGAAAGTAATGACTTCTTTTCCCGCCGTTCGAAGCAGAATCCTGAATCATTGAGAAGTTCCCATAAAGTAGTTTGTTTAAAGTCAGGTAAGTTTGGATCTTCATTCACCTTAGATAAAACATGTTTAATGTTGGGGGTAAGTGTTTTGCAAAGAACGAGTGCACGATTCTTCTAATGGCACTTATTATGAAACCACCACATTTCAATGCTCTATTGTTCTTATAAACCACCTTTTTACGACTCTTTTTTGGGGTATGCACATTTCCTTTTAGTTCTTCATTTCTAATTATGTATATTAAGCGTTTGCTTGTCGCTGTATATAGCCTCAGATGTTTTTTCAACAATAAAACTAATACTTGCATGTGGGTAAAACGGTTTAAAGTACTGAAAAACGTTCAACACTGTATTTCTGTCTCCGCTTCTTATGGGTCTTCCCTTCTTACGCGAATTCATTTTTAACAATAAAAGCCCACTAACTCACACTATACACTAATATATGCACAACTGTATAGAGAAGCACCCAAATCCAACCCAGAACCAACAGTCACTGAATTATGAAATGAGACAGAAGAGGTATTTATTCCTTTTCCGTTTCCGGGAATCGCCACAGCATTTGGTTATATTGTGTAACCTTGAGAATCGCAAGACTGCAGACCTCTCACCAACTCCAAGGGAAAAGTGCTTTGAACTATGAAATAGTAGGCCACGTACCCCGTGCAAATAAATGATCACAAACAATAACTTACATTTATATTTGTGTTTCCCCATAGGAGGATCCCATCTTCCCACATGCTAGCATTAAGTACTAATACGTAGGTTTTGTAAAATATTTGTAATAAATTACGCTATTCGAAAATATTATTTTTATATAGACTTTTATAATGTTACAACTTATTGCATTGTTTGTTTATTTTTATTTTCACAAAATGTGAATGTCAGTTTTTATTTAAAACCCACCAAAATTAAGACAAAGTAGGTAGAAACTAAATAAAACTAAAAAGTAAGACAAAGTAGGACATTTGCTGGAAAGATGGGCTAAGTAGAAGCTCCTGCACCTTCAGACAATGAGTCATGCAGAGTCTGCTGCATAGTCGTGTCGCGGTAACAGCCACAGTCCGAATTTGATCACATATCGTCAGGACGGGTAGAAGCCCCGCGACCGCTCATATGGCCTGTACTGCCAACTAAAGCCCGTATCGACAATAGGAAGGGATTAAGTCACCCACTGTGCTGGAAAAATTTACATCCCTCCTTTTCATTGAGTTTTTTGACTGAAAGGAAATAAATTTCAAAATGTGTTTAGCTTGTATAATTATGATTTGATTTCAGGGCGTATCATCCAATGAACAAGGAGTCTACACGTGCATATGCAAACATATTTCTAACAATTCATTTTATGCAGAAAACGTCGAACTGGTTGTGAAAAGGGACTGGGAAGAAGTTTATGAAACTGATCATTTTGTAAGTGTACCTAAATGTAGAGACAACTTTTTAGCTAGTTTACGTTTGCAGTACCATATACAGCTCTCTCTGCAGTACTATATACAGGTGACTGTAGCATCCTAGGGGGACGACCCACAAGGGGTAAGGAGAAATTCATGTAAGCATATGCAGTGATGTACTTAAAATTAAAGGCCCTAATTTTTAGCATACAAAGCTGCAAACCGGACCTCAAAAGGTTAGTCCTAAACAAAATGGCAGCAATTGATATTATTTTATGTGTAAATAAAGTAATTAAACTTCTGGTTGCATTTAAAAACGTGAGGCCATATGATCAGGACTAAGAGGAAAATATTAAACCATAAGTTTACAAATTTTACAACAATACGATATCTTCTAATAGTTAATTGTACATGTGTATGCTGTGTAGTATCCTTTGGAAGATTTTGAGCCGATTATTTTTGAAGTTTTAACTTAAATTTTTAGTATCCTTTCAATATCCTTCTCAGAATGTCTCTCGATGAGATTGAAACTATTGAAAGAATAACATTGCTAATGATTAGGGAGGGGGTATGGCGATTGAGATCATTGAAAGAAGTTGTTCATCTGACCAATTTCCGGACAGACCACCTTTATCAAAATCCATCAAATGCAGAACAGTTTGACGTATTGAAGAAAACAACAGTGTTAAAGACCTTGGCAGAAGTGGAAGACCCAAGACAGCAATGACAAAAAATCACATACTAGATGTACTGCAATCTTTTATTGAAGACCTCAGAAAATCAACAAGTGCTGCAGCAACTGAATACGATGTAAGTCAGTCCAGTAATGTTAGAGGACGATTTTGATAGAAGAGTTGAATTCTGCAAAACCGTTATGAGTAGGTGTGTGGAAACACAACATTTTTTGGATAACATAGTGTTTTCAGATGAAGCATCATTTACACTTCATGGTCATGTAAGTCGTCACAACTGTCGATACTGGATCCTCATTGGATGAGTGAAAGCCACACTCAGAAGCCCCAAGAAGTCAACACTGAGCTGGTATAGTTGGCACAAAGATTGTAGGTCCTTTCATAATAAATGGAAATTTGAATGGGGATTCATATGAGTTATTGTTGCAAACATACCAACATTACTTGGTTTGCTAGGTCGGCGATTTAATACTGTATGGTTCCGGATGGGACACCACCTCATTTCGCTCTGCAGGTAAAAGAACTTCTGGACAGTGTTTCGAAATCGTTGGATAGGGTGTAGAGGGGCAATAGAGTGGCCTCCTAGGTCACCCGATTTAAACCCCTTGGATTTCTTTCCATGGGGATATTTGAAACAGAGTTTATCCAACCAAGCCTGCCAACACCCAGGAGCTCATTCAACGGATCACAGAAGAAGCTCGTAATAGCCTGAGATGCTGCAAAATATCATTGATGGTTTTTATCACAGGATGGGTTACTGCCACTTTGTTGCGATGCAATGTTTTTTGTTTAGGAATAACCTTTTGAGGTCCGGTTTGCGGCTTTGTATTCTACAAATTAAGGCCTTTAATTTGATGTCCATCACTACCTATGCTTACATTTAAGAATTTTTGTCTTGCCCCTTGTGGGCCATCCCCCTGGGATGCTAGGAAACAGTTAATTACTTTAAAATGTATATTTTTATGATAAGTATGTACATAGAAGGAATTTCCCTGCCTATGAAGGTGGAAAAGTTATGAAACCATTCGGAAATTTGAACTAGTACAGATTAGAATAAATTGGCTGCATTTAACTTTTAAATTGACTGCAAAGTAATAGTGCATCAATTATTAATTCTCTGTGTGACATTATCATCAACAGAAACTATGTATTTATAGCTTTTAATCAAAGAAATCCACCCTTACACCTCCAACTGTTTTTAGGTCTTACCATAATTTATTTGTCTGCAATATTTGTTAATTTCCAGACGAATGTGTTCCGAGTAGTTTTGATGGTGACCATATTGTTGGTCCTCATAGCTCTATTGTTAGTATTATACAACATGAGAACAGACCGACAAGCAAGGTTTCGAGGTACTTTGTTGGTTGGTGTTGTGCAATAACCTATTGAAAGTCAAGTGGTTTGCCTTCTTAGAACTTGAAGTATTATTTCAATAGTTAAAGCTCCAAAGAAAGAGTTACTATACAAATGTTTTCAATCATGATATTGAAGTCTTAGTGTATGCAATGACTTAATTATTAATTTGCATGGAAATATTGTGGTATTTGCATGGTGATTGTTGTGGCCTGTGTTAGTAACATGTTTCCTGGTTGATTTTCAAAGATTGGGCTGCTCATTTCAGATAAATACCCAGCGTAACACACTTTACGAATGGTGAGCTTTTTTATTTTACAATTTTAAATTGAGTAGGTGGATTAGGAGTAGAAATGATAAAACACAATAAATCATTACTCATACAGAAAGTTGCACTGTGCAAACAAGGCTCATATGTGAGATGAAGCTGAACATATGACTACAAAATTTGAAGTGGAAAGCAAAGCCGAGGGAGAAATATGACACAAGTGCCAGAAAGCACTTTTGGTAAACAATAATTTTTGCACAAAGTAGATAATCTCTGTCTTATTAAAATATATAATTTAAATTGCAAAAATACATGAAACACAGGGCAAATGGAAAATAATTAGAAGCAAGGAATCAACTGATCCGCCTCTTACTGATTCTCCTTTACACCCTTACTCTGAGTTAGCTTGGGAAAATATATCCTATGTTAAAACCAGCTGTCATTTAAAATAGCCACACGATGAAAGTACATTTTTTCAAATGAATAATCTCTTCACCACATATCACTTTGATTTTTTTGTTTAATCCTAATGAAACCAGATTAAAATTTATGTGGATCACAATTGGATCGTTCTGACTGTTAAGTGATTTTTAAATGATGGAATTTTGTTGTATTTTTAGCTCTTGCTGACGAAGAATCTCCTGACGAGGCTGGCACTGTCAATGGTCGACAAATGTCTGACTTGGACAGCCACGGGCTGGATACAGAACTTCCACGACCAACCACATTCACAGATGTCCGTCTGGGGGACGCAACCATCTAATCCTAACCTCACCTTCCAGAGGCAAAAAGGCGTGAAACACTCATACAATTTCCAAAATTGATTGCTATTCTACTTGGGAAAAGACATAAAAGTCTCTATTTAATTTTCTTGTAATCTTAAAACTCGTACAAACCCTTAATTACTCATTTAATTATGTCTTCAGTAAACATCAGTCTAGATTCAATAAACCTTCATTCAGAAAAAAACAACCCTACATTTGCTGATGTCATATTTTGGAAACATCAATTCAATCCCAACCTATATTTTAGAAACATAAAGCATATACATATCCTTAATTTACTTGTGTCCAATTTAGGAAAAACCATCTAGTCAAAATACCACCTTCTAGCATCTCTGCTGAAGCCTAACTTTTAGGACAACAATCACCTATTTCCAATCCCTTGTAATAAGACAAAGTTACAACCACAGATATTCATAGAAGTTAGTCTCAGGGAACGCAAACAGTTTCGACAATACCTTGTATCATCAGCGGTAATATACAATTGGTTTTCATATTCAATCTTCCAATCTCCTACATTGCCTTAAAACTCCGACAAACTATTTTATGTTTTCAACACAATTAGAATTGTTGTATTAAAAATTCATCATTTAGCCCCTGAACTGTTAAATTAGACCATTATGAGGTACGTACCTTTACGTCCACAGTTCAACAAAGCAATGGTCAAACTCACTACATGTTTCGTCTATTAAAGTTCTGTCAAGTGATCTTTCAAGAATGTTTCCTCAATTAGCAGACTTGTCAAGAACATTCAAATAATTACACATATAGGATGACACACGAAAACCGCTACCGGTTAATAGAAGGCAACTTAAATGTTTTTTTCATGCGTTGTGTCGTTCTATATGTGTATTTATTTGAACTAGAGGTCGTCCAGTGGTTGAAAACTCGACCAAAAATATGTAAAGACTTCTCTTTTTTCCCCCCACGCTGTAAATAAAACATGCGATTGGAATTTCTTTCATTTGTTTTGATTTTCTGTTTATTTTTCTTTGTTATTTCGTCACCAGCGGCATCCCATAAGGCCAATGTAAATTTTTTTCAAATTAATTTTTTTGCTTATTTTTAGCCTATTTAATTTATAAGGGATACTGCACATCTACAGGAAAAGATCTTTCTAACAGTATGCGTAGATTTTCCCTGCGATGCACACAAGCTGAGAAAAAAGGTTTTAAAGAAACTTGCTTGCCTATTAATACGTACATAGATGTTCTTGATGAGTCTACTAATGGATGAAACATTCTTGAAAGACCACTTGACAATGCCTTAATAGGCAAAACATGTAGTGAGTTTGGCCATTGCTTTGTTGTGGACGTGGACGTGAAGGTTTGTATCTTATAATAGTGGAATGATTGTATGTCTTTTTGTAATGAAACAGTGCTAACCCTAGTCTTGGAATTTTATAACATTATTGGCGTTAGTAAACATTTTAAAAAGTGAATGACAGTAAATAGCTCAAAACATATTTCCTCAACCAAACATACCAGCAACAACATTACACATTGACCACCTTAACAGATTCTTTATCTTGGGGAAACAAAAATTCTGCATCAACCCTATCTTTCAAAATTTGAGTTTGAAGTTAAATATTACATTCCAAATAGCAACAACTTCTGACACAGTTTTTTTAACGGTCATTGGTACATTTAAATGAAAAGGTCGATTACTATATAGTTGCTATGTACCTTTTTTAGCTTGTATCCGTAAAAAGTTTCCTTAAGTTAACCAATGAAAACGTAAATGTTGTATAGTTTTGTTTAGAATAACTAATTGGATGTCTTTTGATTTTAACAATTAAAGTTGACTCAACTTTAAGATTGAGTTTATCTTAAGGTTGTTGTCTAAAAATTGTTGGGGTACAATAGATTTTAAAATATTCTTTGCCAAAGGGTAGTTCTGCTGTGTATTAGAGGAAACTTGATAGGGCACTTTTTGTATCTTTAGCCACAACAAATAAATGTTTATTTTTATGTATCAATTATGTTTAACTAATTGACTATAGTTCCTCAACCACAACTAAGAGATTCACTGTAAACTAGAGATAGAAAAATGGATGTATTGCACTGGGTCCAAAGAATGATGGGTCCAATGCAAGTTTAGGTCAAAACAGGGGACATTTTCCAATATACTGAACTCAATAAGTTATTAGATATGACATAAACAAGTATTTTTATAGATGAAATACTTTAAGTGGAGTTTGGTACTCCAAATTTAACACAATATCAAAAATCTATGGCTAGTTTTGTTCATGGAAGGGTTCTTGGACAGAATTTTGAATTGTAGAATAAGGAGGATAGCATATTCTATGGCCTACCTACACTTTATCAAGGTAAGCTAGCTGCTATCCTCCTTATTCGACAAATCAAAAATCTATGACTGTTCAATTTAGCTTGGTATACTGTAAATTAGGCTGAAAACAAAATCATAAAAGCCAATCAAAAGAGTACTTAATTACAAAACATTGAGTGCCAAAACATATTGAAAGAATCTTGTTTTAGAATTGACCTTACTTTAAAAGCCATCTTGGGTAAAATGGCAAACTTCCATTGATCATAGGCTAATGAAAAACATGCATGGTAATTTTTACTCTTTATATTATCCATAACAATTTAACTGGCCTTTATAGATATAGCACCATAAAATAATTTTCAGAAAAAATATACTTAAAAAATGATGGCTTTAACAAAAAATCAGTATAAATTTACAAAATTGTCCATGTTAAAATATTTCTAGGGTAAAAATTTTGTTTATTATTTTATTCCTCGTCACAAAATTTATGTTGTATTATTTTAGTGCTCTACTTTAATCATATAAACAACTTGATAAATGGAAGACATCAATAATCAATACAGTAATAATGTTGCAATATTAAACCTTTCAATTAGAGTAAAAACACTCTACACCTATAACATAATGAAATGGAAAACTGAAAGACAAAAATTATAATAAATAATAATAAAAAGAAAATCAATACTTAAAGGGAAAATATCAAAAAATAAAAATGATATGTAGACTATCCCTTCTTAAATAATAAATTAATATTCACCCTGCAGAGGCTGAAAGGTACTAATATATTGATATGCGTATTACAAGTATAACATTACTTGAATCCATGATAATTAAAAATCTGGTTATGTAAATAGAAAGCTAGTTAAGTTATAAACCTGATAATGTACATTTTTTTGTTGAAAAATGCCTTTAAATTAAAAGTGTTACTTTAAGTTTAATCATTATTATATGGCGATCACATATCTTCCAACCAGGTAACTTTCATATGGCCTTGGTAATGTTTAGAATAATAAACATTGTAAAATGTTGCTAACGTGACTTAGAAAAACCACAGTTCTGGATTTTCTCAAAGACTTTGTGCGTGTATAAAGATGTGTAGTCAGTCTTATTTGGGCTCAGAACAGGGGACGTTCAGTTAGAATATAAAATCAGACAGAGCTTCTGTGACATCACGCTTGCCATGTGTTGGTATGTGACGACTGGACCATTGGCATGATTTCTCTCTTCACCAACCGCGTCAGCAACTGAAACAATGGGTAAACTGTAACACCCGACCAACTTCATGTGGAAGTATGTCACGACGTATAAAAATATAAGTCAGTGTCATGATGTCCAAAATATAATTTTTTATCTGTCTCACGACGGACGCCCAATATAAACTATTCGACTGTTGCACAACATCCAAAATCTCATTACGTCCAAACATAGTCTTTCTACAAGCTTTGGGTGTCATGGGATTGGTCAATGTGCGACAGAGCACTTTATACTCTTAAAAACTTAGCAGTAGCCTCACGTCCAAAGCCTAACCTAACCTAGCCTAGTCCAGTGGCTTTGGACGTGGTGCTACTTCTAAGTTTTAAGAGTATAAAGTGCGCTGTCGCACGACGAACAATCCCATGACGTCCAAAGCTTGTAGAAAGACTATGTTTCTTGCAGTTACTGTACTTTTGGACATGATGAGATTTAGGCGTCGTGCAACACCCAAATATTTTATACTGGACGTCATTAGAGAGCTCTAGAATTATATTTTGGACGTCAAGACACTGACTTATATCATTGGACATCGTGCAATGCATCTGTATTAAATATTCCAATGGTTAAAAATCAAAGAGAATATTCAGGGAGAATCGTAAGGTTGACTGGTTTTTTTTATCAGGTAATTTTTTTGGGACATTAGTTTTTAATTAATTAAGGTTGAATGAGCTAGTAGTTCTAATCATTCTCATGATATGTGTTTGTCAATACGTTACGTACCTTCAGAACCTAAAACTATCAAAATATGTATAAATAACTCACTAGTAATGCAATGACGTCTGAAGCCATAAGCATGTAGAACACCTTTCCCCAACCATACTGAGATACCACCCCAGCCAGTAGAGGTCCTACTGCAGCCCCTATAATAGAATATACATCATTAGGCAAAAATTGCCAAGAATTACTTAAAAACTAGTCATCCTGTCTTCCAAGGACATTTCTAAAAATTCATTGATACTGTTGAATAAATTTTCAATGAGCCAGTCGCGAATAAACTGGGAATTTTTTAATTTAAATTTTGGTTTTAAGAGGTGTTGAACATCATAATTTGTAATATTTTTTTAAATATGTAAGAGAATTGCAATACATCAAAATTTCTTATAATGTAATTTCAAAATTAGTCCTTAAGGCATCAAAATTCAAGAAGCAGTGAAACAGTGATCCATGTATTCAACAATGAATTATGTGAACATTGAGATTGGGAAGAGAAGAACTCCATAGTGGAAGTTAAAACTGTTAGTTAAAAGAAGGAGTCCAGATTTTATCTAAATTAAATTAATTAATATTATCTAGAAAACCAGTTTATATCAAGTTATATTACAGTAAACCTCAAGAGGACTCAACTCCATCATTGTTATTTTCAAAGTTAAGTATAAACTTTTTTTAAACTCTTTTAAATTCAGTGCACATTGGACTTACCTTTTGGACGACCTCAAAATTTAATTTTCATTGTGGGATTTTGTAAGTTTAACACCTTAATTATTTGGACACTATTTAATTTATTAATTCTTAGCATTCAAGCCAGCACGACACCCTACCCTGAGATATAGCACATCTAAAAGGTGAGTTTACAAATACCAAGCATACTGAATGATAGTGATTTTTTAGCCAACTATGTTGGTTCTACAACCTACATACAAGTTATGACTGTATCTCGTTAAATGGTCATTAATGTGACCAGACAAAAAGAAATTACCAAAGAATTAATGCGCATAAATTAGCCTAAACAAAGAAATATATACATATTGACAGCAGTCATGATCTTTTGTACCTTTGAACAGGGAATTTTATTGCTTGGGTCTTGAATCTCCCTTACAAGGAGTGAGCATTAATCACTAATATCACCATTATTATAGACATTGAGTTTTTGACATCTTGACAGCAAAAGACAATAAAAGAGTTTCTTACCAATAGAACCAGTGCCATCGATGATGGCTGTGACAGTGGCCAAAGCTTTAGAGTTTCCCTGGAGGGAATGGTGAGTGCCTAACTCTGCTGATACTGCCGTAGTGATTAGAGCGTACGGGCCGTTGACCAACAATCCCGCCACCAGCAGCAGAAACACGTTCATCACAACACTGTCAGCTCCATACAGATTGTAAACTTGTAGCTGGAACAAAATATACAGTTCAAGTTAGTATTTTGTTCATTAGCTTTATAAAAAATGACTACCGTCATTGACTTAGTCAATGCTACCGTGGACGGGGTAGAACCGTACACTATTTTGATATTTTAAGGCTAAGATGACTTACCTAGATATCATTAATAAAAATATTACCATAATAAAAACATTATCCATGACCCGTTTGTGTTGTTAGAAGTTAAGATTTATAAAAAAAAAATTAAGTGTCTGGGTCAATCCAATTAATCGGTCTTGACCCTGATGCGTACTGAAATAACACAATAAATTTCAAACTAACTTCTCCTGTCCGCAACAGTGTTTTGTGCCGTCTGATGTCTTTTAAGTTATTAAAGACGCCTTAGTAGTTTATAAGGCCATGTAAAATTAGACAGAGTTTAAAACTTATGAGTAAAAAAGGTTAGGAATAAAAAAAATAACCAGTTATGCCTTTAAGAACGTTTATTTATAATTGATTACTTAGTGAAATATGGTACATACATAAGGCAAAGAGTTTACATAGGCTATAAAATCAAAATTAGTAGTGACCCAAACCAATAGTCTGTCTAAGAAATGACAGAAAAAAATTCAAATTGACAGTCAGAATTCTGCTCAAACATTTTTTAAAGCTAAAGTTGTTAAGTCGATCATTCCAAAGTAGGGGGGTACAACCACTGTCCAATCTTGTCGTAATCGACCGTTCAAAAAACTTCCAGATTCGCCCACTAGAATTTATTGTTTCTAACATGTCTTGCACATCTTACAAATAGGTAGAGAGGTTTTTATCCTCCACTACTGCAACGTCTTAAAAAAAAAAACTTAAGGATAAGCCAGTCCCCGATTTCATGATCATTGATTTCATGATGATTGTAGGGCTCATTAGGCTCTTCATTTACGGGCAGTTCATTAGTCAAAGCCGTGGTGAACATATAATCAATCAAATCAAATCATTTATTATCATGGACATTTACATGCATTGACATTGTCAGTGGAGAAGAACATAAAATTTCAATGTTCATTGTCTAAATATTCAGAGGTAACATGGGTATGAGTCTATGTTGTACAAATTCATTTTAACTACAGGGTTAACATTCACAAGAGACTATAAACAATTTAACAAATGAACAATTAACAAAGTTGAAGAAAACAAAAATAGACTATATAGAAATAATTAACAGATTTGGATACAAAGTTACAGACTTATCACAGGTTGTTCTAGGAACTCTTCAATACTGTAAAAAGGATTTCTTAAGAGCCAGTCACTGAATTTTTTTAAAAATATTTTTTGTGGATACTTATTTACATTAATAATTACC